AGAAACAGGTAGCCATAAGTATAGTGTAACCCATGAACTGGAGTTATAACCTTACACTTTATTGGACACTGCCTGCTTTACATGCCATACTTCATTCCTACAAATCAAATAGATTTATCTAGGAACTTGGCGCTCTCTGTCCTCTCCTGTTTCTTCTTTGTGTTTGCCCGTCTGTTTACTCTTAGTTTTCCAATAATCCCAGATGATGATAATTTGAAAGTAAAAACATCCCAAGTGGTGTTTAAGATCCTTCCCAATATTTTCATCATTGATATCAGTCAGCTTCATTGTCCTCAGAAATGTACTAGCCAGATGAATTCTAAATTGCGTCCTTTGCAAAGAGCTACAGTATCTTTATCCGGTCTGACACAGTATCTTACTTCTGGTAAATTTTTAAATGCTACTTGTTTGATCACAGTTACACTTTACCCTAGTTTTTCTGTCAAGTGATCTCTGTCCTTTGTCATTGCAACTAGGCACATTTCAACAATTTTTTTGTTTTTGTTTTGTTCAACCCTGTTTTCTTTTTATATATCATTGAAGTATGATGTATTTCTTGGTCCTGGAATTTTTTTGCTTGCCACTTTCTGCCATGTTATTTGCTTTCTCATCTCGTCCTAACTAGTTTTCCTAACTCCAGTTTATATTCCCAGATATTACCAACCTTTCTACACTCAAATCTAGACACTTTCCTGTTTTGTTTTCTGTTTAACATATCAATGGATACATAATTTAATTTACTATAATCTAACAGATGTATCAGAAGTTTAAACTGATGACAACTTTAGCTGAAACAGACTGTAGCTGTGACTATATAATTTCAAAATCTCATGTCTTGTACATACTCCTGGCTTTAGTCAGAGCTGTGCCTTAAGTTCTTTGGGTTGCATTTATAAGTAGTGAATCCACACCTTTTGGTAACTGTGGATGGTATAATTGAACACTGGAGCCTATTTTTATTGGAGGTTTCTAAGAGTTTGTTCAGGCTTCTGGTTGTTGAAAACTTTCCCATAATTAGGAACCTTTTAAAAATTACTTTTTAAAATCTAGAGAACAGCCATTATAGATGGCCTGCATTGCTTCATACATCTTGAGAGAAGTCTGAAGTGAATTTAAAAGAGCTGCAAACTTTTTTCTGGTTTGTATAATCTCAGTTTTGTATAGTATTGAGTGAAGCTAAAATATCTTCACTAGGCTATTGTTGATCTACTTCATAGAATTCAGGCTTTCTGGGACCAATCTCTGATATCTTTGCTTTAATTAAGTTAGTAAAAATATCAAAAAATAAAAAGGACTTCTTATTTAATTTACGTTCTTCTCATATATTCCTTTTTAGGATTCTCAAATTTCTTTTGAGCTTTGTAGGTTTATTATTTTTTATCTAGACTTGCCTATTCATTTTAAACCTACATTGTAATTATTATTATTTTTTTAACACCATAGGCTCTTTTTTTACTTAACATCTATTTTGTGACTGGCTCTAGCTTATTCTCACCAAACCAATCATTTACATTTTTTAATAAATTATGTTAAAGTAAACTGATCCAAATAACAGTGTTTGAGATAGAATTTTCAGTATGAGAAACATTATTTTAGCACAGACCTCTGTTTGTAGTTTTAACCAACCAGACACACTGGCTAGATGTACTTCTTCAGTTTCCTTTCCAGCACTTTAAACATTTCTACATTTCATCTGTGATGCCATGCATGAATAAAATATGAAGTAATTTAATACTTGTGATGTCAGGAATTACTGCTTATACTGAGACCTGCAAGAAAAGGTATTTTTTAAAGATTTCCAAGTAAATCATATACTGCACTTTCTTTAACTTGCTTTTTCTCAACTCATTCAGTGCCCTGGGTCTGTCTTTCAGGCTGGGACACACAATTCCAAGAAAAAATGGCTTGTCTGTAATTTTGGGTAGATAACAAGGTGGTAGCCATTGGTTCCTTTGCCAGATAAGCCCTTCAGCTGGAGAGTGGGGCAGCTGAGGAACCGAATGACCCGTTGTTCCCAGTGCTATTCACTGTGGCCTTGATCCTACATTTAGATCCATTTGAGCAGACCCTAACAACTGGTGGAGCCCCTTTGCCTCACGCAAAGGATCAGAGTCTTGCATGAGATTTGCTCAATGGCCAAGCAGCCGATAGGCAAGCACTCTTTCAAGTATGTGGGGCAACAGACGGGTAGTATGCCTTGCAGTTTTAACTTGGGGCAAAAGTGGCCAGCTAGCCAAAAGTCCCTGTCACTCTCCCGAAGATGGCTGCTTTCCTACTACTTGTGGAGGTGGAATGTATGTTCAGATTCAGATCACACTTATTAGGACTTACTCTGATGGCTTCATTTTCTCTTATGTACAAACTGTGCACATGCTGTGTCATTTTCTTTCATTCCAAGACACCCCATTGTGCTAGGTGCTGCACAAATACCTATAAAGGCATGTTCCTTGCCCCAAATAACTTATTGGACTCAGAGGCCTCAATCTTGCAACTGACTTTTCAGACAGATTCCTGACCCCATATAGAAACCCTCGGCCAGTGACAGATTAGCCACTGGGCCAAAGGTGCCCTTGCACAGGGGCCCCAGCCAATTGGGGGCCCCAGGAAAAATGGGTACCCACGCGCCCTGGCCTGTTCCGACCACTCGGCACTCCTGCCAGGGAGTGGGGGAAGCCCCAGTGCCCTAACCCCGCTCCCCAGTAGGAGCACCAGGCAGGTGGGGGAAGCCCCCAACCCTGTCCCTGGCAGGAGCGCTGGGCAGGTGAGGCGGGGCAAGCCCCAGTTCCCCAGCAGGGGGGGCCGCAGGTGGAAGGGGTGGAGAGGGTCCCCACTTGCTCTGGCCCAGGGACCCACAGAAGCTTAATCCACCTCTGCCTGTGCACATTCTGGTGTGAGATTAGAGCCTAAATTGTGTCCTCACTGTGAGAAAACAATCTATATGGTGGTGCAATATCAAAATATTTTGACAAGTTATCCTATACTAAATGTCTTCCAAAGTGTAATAGCTACATCAGTAGATCAGTGGACAGAAGAGTGACACAGCTTCAGTCTATTCTGGTAATAAATGTCTGTACTTCAGAAGATCCCTTTATTCCCACCCCCCGACACACACGCACAAATATGGATAAAAATGTAACTTTGCCATTATTTAAATTCTGCTTCCACAGTGCACATCCAAAATCTTAATTGGTTGGGTAATATTTAGTCCCAACACTGACTTTTGTTGCTGTAGGTCATATCAGCTGAAGTAATGAAAAAGCACAATTAAAATTAGTCACAGTCCAATAGGTACTGAAAAGTTGTACTTATTCTTAAGAGTCATAGAAAATAATGGATTTGAGACTGCAAAGAAAGAACAGCAAAATAGCATTTGTTTTTTTAAATTGGCATGATGATTTAATGTGTATTCTTTAATTATGTTGGATGAATGAAGCATGGTTTAGAATAAAGAACATGTAAAGCAGAATCATTCACTATCTTAATTATATCTGTTCCTTAATTTTAAATGCTTTCTTGTAAGGAAAAAATATCTCTTTAAAAGATTACCTGTATTTTGGCAATTAATGAAATCTGCATGTAGGTCTTTCTTTTGTTTATTTGTTTGTTTAAATCTGTTAGGCAACCCCTACTAAATATGGTTGTGCCTTGTATTTTCTCTTATTCTCCTTCCTTATTGATATTCAGCAGCAGAGACTGTGTCAGTAAGCAGATTACTAGAGATTAGGAGAGCAAAATCAGATATTCTAAACGATGATCCTTCATTTCTCTCAGAGGGAAAAATGGCAGATTTTCCAAGGGACTTAATGGACTTCATTTAAAAAAAAAATAACTCCCCTTCAGTGTCTCCCAACCCTCCCCCATATTTCCACCCACTCGCTGATTTAACACACATACAAATGTTTATTAAGGAAATCTGTCCATTTTCAACTTTCCACAAGGACAGTGTTTTTAAAAAACAAATCATATTTCTGTTTTTTAGCAAAACAATTCCAGTATCTTACAAACAGATTTTGCTAACGAGAAAACATTTTTATGTACAAGTTCTAATTAGACTGCTTGATTTTAATATAGGCTTTAATCTGGTTTGCTACCATTCTAAAATGTTTTTTGTCGTTGTTTACTTTCATAACAGAAAAATTGTTGACTGTACAAACATATCTTATAAAAACAGAGAGAAGGTATATGATATATGCAGGATACAATAATCACTGAGTTGAATTAGATCAATATAAATTATGGGGTGCAGAAAGTCAGAGCTCTTCTGTCATTTTACAAGTAAGATATTTGCACATTTTTAATTGTAATTTATATTATATTGTGTATATATCTGGGTGATTCCGTTTTCACCATGCTTTATATACTTAAGAATATAGTTAGAACTTGTCTTTTTAGGTTGACTCTCATAATCCAAAACTTGAAAGGACAAAATCCGAGGCAAAACTTGTAGTACAAAAACAGGTTTATGCCAGAATTCCTAATGTTAAACCCACTGGTGTCTAGTCTCTGCCGCTTCTCAACATAAAAAGTAGTTAGTGAGATGTAAGTCTGTGCTAGCAGACCTAGCTTCACAAAGATTTATCTACAGCAAGCCGGTTTGTGTTTATATAAAACCAAGAAGACAATAACATGCTAACTGAAATAAGCCATTCAAGGTCAAAACTGTTTCAGTAACTGTGTGTGGTATATAAAGGAACTGTTCATCAACTTTAGTACAACTTACATAAGCTTTGTCTTAAGACTTCATTCTTGTCTTTAGCAAGTGGAAGGATCTGATTGTAAATAACACAACTTCTGTGATATTAGAAAACAAATGTAACTGTTGTGTTGCAGCTTTTGATAAATGGACACTGACATGGACTACGAAAGACCCAACGTTGAAACCATAAAATGTGTGGTGGTTGGCGATAATGCAGTGGGAAAGACTCGCTTAATTTGCGCAAGGGCATGCAATACCACTTTGACACAGTATCAGCTCCTGGCAACTCACGTACCGACTGTCTGGGCAATTGATCAGTATCGTGTCTGCCAAGAGGTAAGGATTTTCCAGTTTATTAAATGTGTAGTGCACACAATAAGTTTGTATTGTTATTGATCAGCTCTTTAATGGTCAAGATGTGGTAATGGGCAACTCAAAAATAAAATGATTTACAAGGACCCTAAGGCAGCTACCATCTAACACGCAAGGCATCCACTTTTTCTCTAAGCCCCACAATTACATTCTGAATATTTTGTGACAAGAACATATTTAAAATACTCATATTGTGCTTACATATTATAATATTTAACACTGTGCTAATTTGGTGTAGCATGGCATCATATCTTTTTTACAAGGAGAGTAGCAATTTTGCCTGTAGTGAGATTTTTAATTGAGGGAGGAAAATATAATGTCTATTCTATTTTAGGTGCTTGAACGCTCCCGGGATGTTGTTGATGAAGTGAGTGTTTCTCTCAGACTCTGGGATACTTTTGGTGACCATCACAAAGACAGACGTTTTGCTTATGGAAGGTAAAATGAGCCAAGTCTAACTTTTAAATAATAGCTGCAGTAGTATTTAGCAGAGAGAAATTTGCAGCTCTGAATTTTGAAACACGAGGCCTTATAACAATCAAGGGTATTCATATTTCTGCCTATTACAAGGGAGATATCAACTGTAAGGATTAAAAAGATACACATATTTAAAAGGCAGTACAGTTTTACTATTCTGCATTTACTTGAAGAAAATGTTAAGCCCTGCCCACAAATACTTTGTTTCAGACTATAAAGAGTGTTCACAGAAATGAGGCTGTGGTTTTATGAAAATGAACACCAGTTTTCCTTGCTTGAGTAAACATCATGAAGGGTAATCAATTCACTTATTACTGAGCTAACAAACAGGTGGGTTGGGAAAACATAATCTGTGTTGCAGAAAACACACGCGCACACACACACTATAATAAGAGGGTGATCTGCTGATGGATGGGTCATTCTCTTAGGGCCTGATCTAAATCCCAAATTACTGAAAGATAGGAGTCTCTTTTCCTGCTTTCTTAATTAAAACAAAAGGGAAGGGTTCTCTTACATGAATACCAAAGTTTTCATTGATACATTAATCTTATAAATGTTGAGAATTTAGCAGTAGGCTTTTATCAAAGTGCAAAATATGGCCGAATTCTAACGTCAGTGACAGTCTTTCCATTTAATTCAGAGGGAGTTGGATCTTTATCAATGCAAGCAGAAGCGCTACTGAGCAGCAGGAAATTCAGTATATCATAATGTGAATCAGCTACCTGAAATACAGGCATATAAAATTAAAAATGGATGTCATAAACTTTTTTTTATGATTGACACACATACAAGGCCTTATTTTTTGCACTAAATGCCAGTATTTCTTTTCCTTCTGAAACTTTTTTCTTTTCCCTGTCACATCTGCTCCTATCTTATTTCAGCTGATATTTTTCAACAGACCCCTTTTCTCTAGTTAAAAATGTTATATGTATAGTATCTGCCCCAGTTTTGCACGTAATGTCTGTAAATAGTTCTTTCTTTGTGGCTCCATTTTCAATGCACCTGAAGTATAGAGAGACCAGAGTTGTGTGAGTCAGTGCTAGATAAAATGAGTAACTTCAAAGGGAGTTAGCCTACTCTGGTCTCTGTCTCTCTCTAAAGATCACCGTAACAAGAGGGTCTATCAGCTGAATCCAGTAATGGTAACATCTCTTGACATTTTCACATTGTAAAACTCCATAGGCAAGTTTATAGTTTTATGTATGTAAATCCTTCTTTATATCCAGTGTCATGTTAAAGGAGTGTTTTATGAAGAGCAGTAAAGTAAAAAGTGCTTTCTATTGCATAGACGTTGTCCTTTGGCCAGCAGGGTAATTTTTGAAAGACAATTAAGTTCCCATTTCAACAAAGTACTTAAACATGTGTTTAAGTGCTCAGCTGAATCAGGACCTAAAGTACAGCATATCTTGATTATATAAGGTGCACATTTTAACAATAAGTTTCATGTATGGAAAAAGTTATTGATTTAAGATAAAACTGACCTTAATTTCCAAACTCATTCAAGTATTTATGAAGGTTTCAGGTGTAAACAATTTTTATTTTAATACTTAAAACTTTGTGATTGTAAATATGGCTGTACCTTGCGTTTCCTCTTACTCTTCCTCCCTGAAGTACCGACGTGATATTCTGTAGCAGACACTCTGTCACTGAACAGATTAATAGAGTCTAGGAGAACAAAATCAGGCATCTTCTGAACTCTGATCCAACATTTATGAGTGAATGGGAGCATGGGAAAACTGCATTCTTAACTTCTAATCCTTCACACGTAAAGAGACTTGAGTACCTTGAGTTCAGTGGGACTAGTTACATGAGTAAAGTGACTCTCACATATGTTTGCAGGTTTGGGCCCGTAATGTGGGACACATGGGAACAAGGTTTGCTAAAAAGAGTTTAGCTCAGAAAGAAACTGTTCTAGGGCTTGTCTACACTTACCGGGGGATCAATGCACGGCGATCGATGCATTAGCGGTTGATTTAGCGGGTCTAGTGAAAACCCACTAAATCAACCGCAGGTTGCTCTCCCGTCAACTCCTGTACTCCACTGGATCAAGAAGAGTAAGGGGAGTAGATGGGAGAGCGTCTCCCATGGACCCCGCGGTAAGTAGAGCTAAGCTACGTCAACTTGAGTTATGCTATTCACTTAACTCAAATTGTGTAGCTTATATTGACTTTTCCCTCTAGTGTAGACAAGACCTTAGAAACCAATCATGCTGGCCGTAGCTTTCCTTCTGCCAAGTCTCTTAATGCATTTGTGTGTAGTAGCAAAACTAGTGTATCTTAAGGAAACCATTTGGGGTCCATTTTATTAATGGAATTTCATTGGTCAAATTTTATACTAGCAGGCTCTGGTTACCCTGTTCAATTCTATTCTGTTCTAAAATGATTTAATACAGTATTAACATATTTATAATGTTTCTTTTAACATTTTTTACAACTAGGAGCCTTTATAAATTGCAGGTGGCTTTATTGTTTATATACATTTACAGAATTTGTTTTCAAATTATCTTCTGTACTTTGAAGTGTGTTCTCATAATTAAGCCAAATCTTGCAGAACAGTGAAAAGCTGGCTAGTGCCAGAATGCTCAAGGCTAAACCTATAGGTGTCCAGTCTTCTCTGCCTGGAAGATTGTTTAATGAGATGTCCCTTCAAATACCCTTCAAAATTGTTGTTGTTCTATGCAAAGTAGATCCTGTTATGCTCGTGGCGCATGGAGAGGTCTGAGTCTGTCAGCCAAGACCTTTAATTGTCCGAGCTGTGGCATAACCAGAGCTAGCAAGTTATCAATGTATCTGCCTCTCTTTGGGGAAGACTGCTCCATTAATTTTGCAGAATTATATATAAATAGGTTATGTTTTAGGTGACATGATGAACAGGATTTATCTTGGGTAGAATTTCTTCCTGCTTCTCATTTTTCATTGAGATGAGTAACAAGGTGGAACAATTAATGCTTTTATTTATTTTTTAAAAAAGGTGGTGGGGCAGAGTATCAATCCTAGTCTGTATTTTACTGCATATTGTTTAATTACAGATCAAATTCATACAGGACATTGGGAGGGGAAAAGGGAAACTGACAGATTAAGAAAAAAAGATTGAGAACAAAACTTGGTTGGAAAGATTTCTAGAATGTTCATTTTTTTTCTTAACTCTGAATAGGTGGGTTTGCTCTGGAGTGGTTCTGTTCTTTCATTTCAAATAGGTTCCAGTTTGTGGTGATGAATACTCCTCAATTCATATTGTCCTGAAGGATTCAGTTTTATGCAAAATCCAGTGAAGAAATGGTAAAATGGTATGGTCTGAGATATAAGCAGTACTCTGATATCTAGATCTATGTCACCTTTTCATCCAACGATTCTGTCTCAGTACTGTACAGTCGCCTAAGATTGCAGCATGGATGGGAGAAATGGATAAAGCTCAAGCTGCCACCACGTACAAATGTCCCTAAAACATACCCAACTCATTTGATATAGGCATAACAATAAAGTAATTTACACTATTTTTAATTTGGCATCATTCACAACTCTAGCATCTTATCTAGTCTAGTTTTGAATAAGAATATCAAGATCTCCTAGTGCTGGAAGCGAAAATGGAAAAAGAATTGGTTCACCAGATTTTTTTTTTAAGTGAGATAGCAACATATTTGACTAAAATTCAGTTAATTTCCTGCAGTTATTTCATGTAAACAACACTAAAGCGTGTGTGCGCGTGCACATCTGCAAGGAGTTAATTCCATTTGTCAGATACTTACTTTCATATGAATATGTGGTCTGTAAACTAGTTCAACCATGATAATTTATTTAATGAAACTTAAGTATAAGTTCTAGACCAAACAAAATCTGTTCAAACCATATGGTTGGAAATCAGCTTTTCCCACACCTCTTATTTATGAACATGTGGATGGGCCATTACAAGGCTGCTGACAGGGCCTTTTTAAACATATGTTGACAATATTGCCTCTTCTGTGACCTGATTTCATCAGTCTTCCAAGTCTGGTATGTAGTCAATCATAGGAGCACATTCACTCAACTCTTAGGTGATTAAGATTCCTTTTACCACTAAGTTCAACATAATTGAATCCATAGAAACATATCTCCTTGGCACTGTCAGTCTGCATTCCTTGGCAGATGAATTCATCACCAACATTTCTCTTATTTTTACCAATCTCTTTAGCTCTGAGGGACCCACAATTTTTCACTCCCATGCAGTCGGCCAGGGTTCCTGCCATAAACACTCCAACACCTTCACAAAGTGTTGGTTCAGTGTGTTTTAGTTTGATCAGTGCCCTCTATTCTATCCCATCCATGCTTAAACTCAGAGGGAGAGCAGCTCCATTGCCTCTGCTTCAAGGAGATGGAGGACTCAACGTCCTCTCAATTTCCTTGTTTTAATATGTACTACTCTCTTACAGCATCCTCTCCACCTTGGCTGGTGAGGTGAGCAAGACCTGGTGACTGGCTGAGTTGCTTCTGGGGCCCTCTGCCAGCTGTAAACAGAGCAGTAGCAGCACCTGAGAAGAGTAGGTGACCCAGCTGGAAGTTCACATCTTTCACCTCCTCTGAAGGAAGCTCTGTCCCACATCCTTCCTCTGGCTCCTTATCCCCCCAAAGGAAGTTGGAAGAGGGAAAGCCTGCCATCAGCTCCCTTTCAGGGGGAAGAAAGACAGATGCACAAATCGATACTTTGCTTAAAACTCTACTGTATGTTTTAAAATGTCTTAAAACTTCTCAGAATGCAGGATGTTGCATCAGGGTTTCTCAGATGCTCCTAGCTAAGGCCTCTTCCTGCACCTCAGACCAGCTATATTTATTTCTGTGTCAGTACAGATTCTCCTTCTGATCAAGTATAAATGTGAGAGACAAGGTGTGTGAGGTAATATCTTTTATTGGACCAACTTCTGTTGGTGAGAGAGAGAGAGGTTTTGAGCCACACAAAGCTCTTAAAGCTTGTCTCGCTCACCAACAGAGCTGGTACAATAAAAGATATTACCTCACACACCTTGTCTCTCGCATATCCTGGGACCAACACGGCTACAAGTACACTGCATACAGGTATAAATATGTCTTTTTAGAGGAATTGGGGACCGTCTCCACAGCAGTAAATGCTTCACACAGGCAGATACTCTTTTGCTTGTCTGGCAACGGGCCTGCTACTGGGGACATAAACTACTTTCAGATCTATTTCATCTCTTGTCCCCATTCTCTTCCTCTTGCTATGTCTTGTCACCACAAATGATGCTGTTAAAAAGATGTGATGACAGCCAACAAAATTGGTGAACTACCACTTCTACGCTAATCTATTTTAAAAACAAAAAACACCCAAATATAGAGGGCTGTGTTTTACAGGCCATTAAAGTTCTTCATCAGGTAGTCTTGGAGGAGACATACAGAGAAGTGTTTAACATTTAAGACAGTCATGCTTTTTTGTACTATTTTAATTGGGCTCAGTTTGGACCCAAGGAAGATTGCAGAGCAGGCAGATCAAGTTTAGTGGTGATGACATTCAAATGAGCTTCTGAAACCTAATTTTATTTTTCATGTTGTCTTTGTGTCTAATATTGTGTGTGTACATACAAGCACACACCCATTAGTCTTTTCTGTCATCACATGTATTAGAATTGGAAGCTCCCAACCCATCTCCTGAAATGTTTGAATACCTAGACCATTCAAATTGGTGAAGTCCAGTTATTTGTCCTCCCCACATTACACCTGTGTCTTATCTTACTGTAAGTAGTGAATTTTTATGAAAATCTGTTATGGAATTGCTATTAGGGATCAGCAATTCTTCCTCCTTTTAAAAGACCTGGTACCAAATGAATGTCCATAGGGTATGATGTGGCTTATCTTGATGTCTGTATAACATAGCTAGAATAGAGAGGCTCTGTTGCAATAGTGCAGGGCTTCTTTGACTGCAATGAAAATGTTTATACACACACACACACACACACACCCTTCTTTGTTTATGCTATTACATAATTCTCTTCCATTCTTGCTCTCTTATAAAGTGGTTTATTCTAAAAGCCTTCATTTATAGCAGAGGAAAAAATATCTTTTGAATATGCTAAACCAGAGAAGGGACATCAAAGATGACTTTGGCCACCACAAGTAGTTCTGAATTGATAAGATTAGGATCTGTTGAACCCACTAGACATCTAAGACTCCAAGATTCTGGGTCTAGATTTCCTCATAGGTGTGTAGGGTAGTAGAAATATATATGGACACAACTATCCACCTCAGTCTGAGTGCCCTTGTCCATTGCTGTTTGACACCAGTGTACCATTTGAAATTTCATGGCTTCAGCTATCATAAATAATTCATAAAGTTGTCTGGGCTATTGCCAACAATAATCAGATTTTTCATGAATGAAGAAAGTTAAAGTTCTGTGATACAGTCACACGAGGGTTTCTTAGCACTAAATTCATCAAATTTTGCTTTGCTTTGCTTTCAAGTCTTCCCCAATTTCATTTATACTGGCTTCCTATACCTGTGTAAAAATCATACTCTTACATTTAGTGATTGTGCCTAAGCCAGTCATTATTCCCTTTAATCTCTAACATCCTGGACCCTTTGTCTTCTCACAATCTTCCTAGCTTCCTGTGACTAGCTGTGTAATTTGTTACTCTGTTACCATTTACAAAAATCATGCTTGACTCTGTTGTACTCCCAGATGTTTGGAACTCCCATTTCTCTTTGCTTCCCTGACTTTCCTCATCATTTCAGACCCTATCTGAAAATGTTCTTTTCCCTTTCTTAATACTGTTGCTTCAAATGATTTGACATTTAATTTCTTCATCTCTTGAAAAATGAATATTTTGTTTACTGTCAATCACTGTTTGTGGACTCGATTTTTTGGTGTATTTATTGCTGAGTCTTCCTGTTACTCTTCCTCCTGTGCATTTGAGTAAAGTCTATTAAATCTAGAGAGAGACTTTTTTGAAATATTGTCCCTATCCATGAATCAACTGCTTGCAAATGGTAACAAAATTAGTCTGAAAGTGCTCATTCTCCAGGCTGTCTGCCCTGTATTCTTTTGGGAGTTCCCCAGCTGCTGGTTTTTATCATGTTCAGGAAGTAGCTCCCAGACCAACACCTGGCTCCATTTCCAGGGTTGTCTGTTGCTCTCTGCAACACTTGTTTCCTTAAAAGGGATGTGTCATGGAACAGGGCTGGCCGTTCCAGGCTTTATGCCCCATTACAGTTTAAAGTGAACAGGCCATCCCATTACAATACACCTTTAAACAAATATTATCTGATTACTTACCAGACTCTTCCCACCACATCCTGAGTTTTGGAGTTTGCTCTAAGTTGGTCAGATGGTCTGTTGCAGCAACAGCTGAAACCACTGTCTTTCTGATTGCCATTTGTTCTTGCTTCCTCACCTTTTCATTCTGTGTGGAAACAGAAGGCCCAATCTTTCTTTCTGCATGTTGTACAGAACCTGTAAATATTCTTTAGTGTCAAAGCACCCATACTATATGGAATTATATTTAGCACAGCATCTCTGTTTGTGAATTAGGAACGGAACACACAAGCTCTGTGTTCCTTAAAAAGAAAGACAGATTGAGCCAAGTTCTGTGGAGCTGAATTGTGCAAAATGCCCACTGACTTCAGTGGGAGTTTTACTCAATTCAGAGTTGTAGAATTCGGCCCAAGAGAAAAGTTAAAGCAGTTTGCAGATAAATTGGTTCATTTCTATGTTCTGTGTTTGGTGCTAAGATGATCTCGTCCTTATGTAAATGACTAAGATATAATAATTAGTAAACCTAATTCTTAGAGTCAGAAGTAAAATTAACCATATACCATGACTATGTAAGCAGTCTATTTAAACTTTAAAAATAGCTTTGCCTTGATATTTTGTTCCAGACAACTTTCCAGTTGCCATTAGTGCTGTATCTGGTTGGTTATTTGTACTGCAGCGAGAATAGATCTCCAGGCTTTTACAGTGGGAAATGAGATATTTTTGTCATTTTTATGATACCACTGTCATTTCTGGTTCTCTCTATATGCACCATGAGTACATCAGAATAAACATAGAAAAGGCTTAAAACATGTAATTTCTGAAGTGGTGTTCATAGTGGGTAAGGAATGAGCAAAAAAGCACTTTCCACTTTTTAAACATAGTCTTGAAATATGTGATCATTATTATTTTTAAAAAGATAGTTGATAGTCTTTTGTTGGTGGTGTTTTGTACTAAACCTGAAGTTACAGAATTTTTAGAAATAGGTCTGCATGCTACTCACCACAAAATCTGCATATATTTCAGGGTATTTTGACAGTTTCGCACATAACACCTGTACTTAAGAAGCTTCACTGCTATCGGTAAAGTATAGAATTAATTGATTCTCCTGCTCATGTGTAAGGCATTGCATGGTCTTGCCTTGCCTTACTTGGAAACCTTTAGTTCTTCACATGTCAGGGCACTCCTTGCATTTTAGTTCATCAGGCCTTCCATCTGTTGTCTGTGTGCAAACAGGTCCTTCATCTTCTGGTCATTACTTACTCTTACTTGTCACTTATTAATTTCTTTCCATCTCATATGAAGGCTGCTATTGCATTTACTAAACTCTGAATTCACTTAAAACTCTCCCTTGCTTATATGTATCTGCAGTTCTTTTTCCAGCTCTGTGAGATTCATGCATGAAAGATGCCTTATAACTGAATGAAAATTTCTTTTACATAGTTGGGTTGATAGCAGTAGTGTTTTATGCTGCCACAAAGGAGATCTTGGGTTTAATTCTTGGATTTAGTCTTTGTCCCTGAACAAACTGACCAGGCTTGGGAGTCTTGTAGAGCTAGTGTGCTCAATCCAGGCTGAGGGAAAGACTTAATTTGAATTAAGAGTAGTCCCTTTCAGATGGTTAAGTGTTATGTGGATAATTCTCCTCCAGTCCCACCTCAGCCAGAAGAATTGCAGCTGAGATGCAGGTTTCAAAGGATGTGGTAAAGCTGAGGGGGAAATTTGTTGTGAAATTTTTATATATGGCACAAAAATGATCCAGGGAATGGAAGGAAAACTATTGGTGATGAATGGACTTCACAGGGTTCAGTAGTTTAGATAAATTCTAAGGAATGTGAATGTTTGTCTGAAATTACTCAGAATTCTCTGTTTCACAAAACTGGATTCTGAACATCCTCCCTCACTGTAATCTGGCATTTCTGTTTCTGCTTGCAGGGAATGCCCAGAAGTAGGGAAATTAAAAAAAAAATTAAAAAAATAAATAAAAGGAGGGTAATTACCTGAACTTTTTGTCAAATGTATTCTAAAAAAACAGTTGCTGTGGGTACAATAACTTTGTGCTAAACTGAAATGTTTCTGATTTAGTTCATCTACCCATAAAATTATTCTGTCAGATTTGGCTTTTGGATCTCTTTATTAGTCATCTAAAAACAATCGGTATTTCCGGCTTGTCCTTCTAAAAGGAAAGAAAATAACAGGACAGTAGTGCTAGACTTTTTCTCTTTTTTTCATCTGTGGGGTGTCAGCATTGATTTCCAGATCAGTGACTACCACCGAGGCAAGACTTTTTCTCAGGCAAATTCTCTTTGTTTTACTGCCTTGCAGGTGCTCTGCCCCTTTCCTGCATCACAGCTCTGCCCTCTGCTTGAAAGGACTCCCTTCTAAACCCATCAATATTTCTTTTTGGTTGGCTGGCAGGTGACTAGAGAGCAATACAAAGCCCCCTTGCTTGGGGCTAAATCACCTGGTGAACAAGTCTTGCATGTACCACTTTCATTTATTTCCCCAAAAAATGTCTTGAGACCATAAATTAAATGCTGAAGTGATGAAGCAGAACTACTTCAACATGTTTTTCTTTTAATTTCTACAACAGGTATATTTCAAAATTCAGCCAGTCTTTTAGGTAGAAATCAACCCAAATCAAAGCATCTACCAACATTGGAAAAGGTCTGACCTACAGGGCCAGAGCCTGCAGTTGAGAGTCATTTACAGTTTTAGCCCTTTCATAAAGTCTCCATGAAGTGTGTCTAATGATAAGTTATTGAATGCCTCTGTTTTCTTGAAATTCTGCCTCAAATGGGGATATTGTTGCCTCTGTGCCAAGCCATAGCAGATGTCTGGGCCTTGCGGTTGGTTTCCCTTTGGAAGAGAAATCAGTGATGGGAAGTCCGGGTATATTTTTAGTACAACTTGTTATGCCAGTTCATGAACAGAGGTGGTCACAAACGGCATGCAAGCAAATGAATCTTTAAAAAATCTGAATCCCAAAAATAATGCCCAGTTTTACATAGGCAGCTGTTCTTCAGGGATGGACTCTAGTTAGATTAATGCAGAGAGGAAGCTCTCCTACTTGCAGTAGCTCCCCCTGAAATAATGCACATCACAGAACTAACAGTACAGTGTTTCTTTTGAGAGTAGTCCTGCACTGGAAGCAGGTAGCAAGCTAAAAATGCAGCGTAGAAGTGGCAGCACAAACAACAGGAGGGGCTAGGTGCCCTGAGTGTGTGCCAGTCTGAGACTCTAGGTACCTACTTGAGACGGCTAACCCTTACACTGCTGCGGCCACACTCTATTTTTATCACACTAGCTGAATGAGGGCTAGCACGTGTATGTCTCCCTGAACTGGAAATCACACTCCCAGCTTGAACTGTAGATCTACCCTAAGACTGAACATGGCTTGCATGCTGAGAACAACTTGTAAGACTGTGTAACAGCACCATCTGGCACCATAACAAGCTGCAGGACCTGTTTGAGTGTAGAAGGAAAAACTTCTTTATATTCTAGAACAGGGGTAGACAACCTATGGCACGCGTGCCGAAGGGGGCACGTGAGCTGATTTTCAGTGGCGCTTTCACTGCGCGGGTCCTGGCCACCGGTCCGGGGGGCTCTGCATTTTAATTTAATTTTAAATGAAGCTTCTAAAACATTTTTAAAACCTTATTTACTTTACATACAATAGTTTAGTTATATATTATAGACTTACAGAAAGAGACCTAAAAACGTTAAAATGTATTACTGGCACGTGAAACCTTAAATTAGAGTGAATAAATGAAGATTCGGCACACCACTTCTGAAAGGTTGCCGACCCCTGTTCTAGAAAGAGCAAATTGTTCTCCAGAAATAATACTGTGCTTGTTCACTAAGCACACTGATATAATAACCATGTAAATTAGTGGATTTTTTATTTTAAATGTTGAGTAAGTATATTTTTTGTCCATAGCAACATCTTGTGTGTCCATGATTGTGGTTAGGGTCAGAAAGACGTGCTAAGACATGCCCATTTTGCTCTTAAAAATTATTTTTCTCATTTCATAGCCAGTATTTGAAAAGCTCCTATCCAGAGCTCTAGTTGCCTCTGACACAATTAAAAGTACAGTAATTTAAACAAATAAAGCAGCAGCACTCACCTAAAAAACAGAAAGTGACTAACGCGATGAAATCAAACCTAAACAGCAGCTTGTCTAATACACGGATAGTTCTTAGTATGCCCCTCTTTCCTCCCTTCTTCCCCCCCCCCCCAAAAAGTCTGGGGAAGTAGATGGGCCTTTCAACATGCCCTGATGATCAAAAATTGGGATATTTCAGACTGAGGGGATTGGAGAAGAAGAGAGAATTTTAATGTGTTGCCTCATGTAGCATGCCTTGCAGTCATCCAGTGAAGAGGTGACATGTATGTGGGTAATGGTAGCTAGATCTCAATCTGAAAGAATGTTCATAATTTCCATCTATCAAATTTTTCAGATTTATGTTCCATTCTCTCCTGTCCAACAGCCTGAGTGGGGGAAAATAAGCTGTTTTGCCTCTTTTGGAGGTGCAAAATCCTTCCTTCAACCATAGTATGTCAGTTATTTTGCAATTATTAGTGCCAC